GAATGAATGAGGCATTTATATAGCGCTTTCATATGTACTACTGTACACCCAAAGCGCTTTACAATCATATCAGGGGTTCTCTCCTCAACCAGCACCAGTGTGCAGCATCCACTTGGATGATGCGACGGCAGCCACAGTACAACGGCGCCAGTGCGCTCACCACACACCAGCTATAGTTGGAGAGGAGAGAGAGTGATAGAGCCAATTCAGTGGATGGGGATTATTAGGAGGCCATGATTGGCAGGGGCCAATGGGTGGAATGTGGCCAGGACACCGGGGTTAAACCCCTACTCTTTTACGAGAAGTGCCATGGGATTTTTAATGACCACAGAGAGTCAGGGCCTCGGTTTAACGTCTCATCCGAAGGACGGTGCTCTTTGACAGTATAGTGTCCCCGTCACTATACTGGGGCGTTAGGACCCACACAGACCACAGGATGAGCACCCCCTGCTGGCCTCACTAACACCTCTTCCAGCAGCAAACTGGTTTTCTCAGGAGGTCTCCCATCCAGGTACTAACCAGGCTCAGCCCTGCTTAGCTTCAGTGGGCAACCAGTCTTGGGCTACAGGGTGATATGGCTGCTGGCTATATCAAAAGCATTCCATATATATATATATATATGGAATATATACACTCACCGCCCACTTTATTAGGTACACCTGTCCAACTGCTCGTTAACACTTAATTTCTAAGCAGCCAATCACATGGCGGCAACTCAGTGCATTTAGGCATGTAGACATGGTCAAGACAATCTCCTGCAGTTCAAACCGAGCATCAGTATGGGGAAGAAAGTTGATTTGAGTGACTTTGAACGTGGCATGATTGTTGGTGCCAGAAGGGCTGGTCTGAGTATTTCAGAAACTGCTAATCTACTGGGATTTTCACGCACAACCATCTCTAGGGTTTACAGAGAATGGTCCGAAAAAGAAAAAACATCCAGTGAGCGGCAGTTCTGTGGGCGGAAATGCCTTGTTGATGCCAGAGGTCAGAGGAGAATGGCCAGACTGGTTCGAGCTGATAGAAGGGCAACAGTGACTGAAATAACCACTCGTTACAACCGAGGTATGCAGCAAAGCATTTGTGAAGCCACAACACGCACAACCTTGAGGCGGATGGGCTACAACAGCAGAAGACTCCACCGGGTACCACTCATCTCCACTACAAATAGGAAAAAGAGGCTACAATTTGCAAGAGCTCACCAAAATTGAACAGTTGAAGACTGGAAAAATGTTGCCTGGTCTGATGAGTCTCGATTTCTGTTGAGACATTCAGATGTTAGAGTCAGAATTTGGCGTAAACAGAATGAGAACATGGAACCATCATGCCTTGTTACCACTGTGCAGGCTGGTGGTGGTGGTGTAATGGTGTGGGGGATGTTTTCCTGGCACACTTTAGGCCCCTTAGTGCCAATTGGGCATCGTTTAAATGCCACGGCCTACCTGAGCATTGTTTCTGACCATGTCCATCCCTTTATGGCCACCATGTACCCATCCTCTGATGGCTACTTCCACCATGTCACAAAGCTCTAATCATTTCAAATTGGTTTCTTGAACATGACAATGAGTTCACTGTACTAAAATGGCCTCCACAGTCACCAGATCTCAACCCAATTGAGCATCTTTGGGATGTGGTGGAACGGGAGATTCGCATCATGGATGTGCAGCCGACAAATCTGCGGCAACTGTGTGATGCCATCATGTCAATATGGACCAAACTCCCTGAGGAATGCTTCCAGCACCTTGTTGAATCTATGCCACGAAGAATTGAGGCAGTTCTGAAGGCAAAAGGGGGTCCAACCCGTTACTAGCATGGGGTACCTAATAAAGTGGGCGGTGAGTGTATATGTGTGTGTGTGTGTGTGTGTGTATATTGTCCTTGCATTCTTTCTTGTGTGACACACCTGAATGAAAGGCTCATTAATATGCGGGGTCTTTGTCTTGCCAACCACCTAATTATTCACAATGGGGTTGGGCCGTTCACGCCCATTCGCATATTGCCTTGGCTAACAAAAAATGTTTTTCACAATTTAAAATAATCTATTGTGTTATGTGAATGATTAGACTGGATGATTTTCAGATCATTTTGAAGCAAAAACTCTAGGCCACAACTTCCATTAGTCAAAAGTCTTGTGGACACATATTTAGTATGTGTTTTGTGGCTTTATTTCAGAAACTTTAATTTTTATTTTTTTCTATAACCATGCATAAACAATATTCTCTCAAAAATACAAACATGTACATACATTTTGCTCACATATTATGGTAGCCCTGTTTGTGCTAAATAGTGTAATTTCAACCTTAATATGTTTATAAGCAACTGAAAAAAGCACAAATGTCAGGGCATGTCAAAACACCTCAAGGACCCCAAAAACACCTTGGTCCCCAGAGGGTTAAAAGCATTTTCACATGTAGAATTGAATGAGTCAAAAGCCCCTTTCACACAGAGATTCCGGAAAATACACGGATAAAGTGACCCGGGATTTGACCCGGGATCGTTTGATTTTGCTTCATTCACACTGCCAGTGATTTGCCGGAATCAGAGAGCGTGTTCACACACAACCCGTGTATGTTCCGGAAAGACGCGTGACGTTGGATGTGACGGGTCTCTACTTCAGTCCAGTTTGCAGACATTTTTTCGTTCTTTCTTGTATCGATGACGAACACAAACTTTCTTCTAGAGTAACTGAGCCGCACGATAACTACGTCATTGCAAAGGCTCGTGAATCCTCACTACGACACACCCCTTATACGGCATTGGTTCTGGCTTTTGTTCACACAGCGCGCGTTCCGGGTCTGAACACGGCAATGTTACTAGGTCCCCAACCCGGCATCGATCCCGGCATCAATCCCGGGTCGTGTTTGCGTTCACACAGAAGGCACTCTGGCAATTTGCCGGCAATTTGCCGGGTTCAAAGCGCTGTGTGAAAGGGGCTATACTGACACAGTCCAGATACACTACAGTACCTACTTTTTCGTATTATATTCCGTTTTGTGAAACCCAACAACATAAAATACAATGGATAACAGTTTAAATGTTTATTACCAACAAGCAAATTGCACAAATTCGTTGAAAAATTAACCCTGCAACACGGCCTTTAAGATATTGTTGCTCATTCAGTGTTTCTGTAAAAAAAAACTGAGAGCCAGTATCCTGCAGAGTTTAATTCCAACCCTAATCAAATACACCTGAACAAATGAATCAAGGTCTTTAGTATTACAATAAAATTACAGGTAAATGAGTTTGATCAGGGTTGGAGCTAAATCCACCAATGCAGAACCGAAACTATCAGTTTTATAACTGTATTTAATATTGTTAAATATAATTATAAATTTCTTGCAACATGAATATAGTTTTGTCAGAAGTATCTATAGAAAAAAAAAATCTGTTTAAATTAGGATTGCATGTTTAACTCCTCTCCTGTTCAGTTTTAACCAGCTGTGCCTCCCAACGTATGACTCCTACGAGGAGCTCCACAAGCTGCTGAAGCTGGCCATCAATGAGGGGAGCGAGGGCTTTGGAATGCTTTGATAATTGATAATAGTAATTATTATTAAAAGATTATAATTCTGCTACTAATAATGACAATATAGCCTACAACACACATGAGCTGCTGGGTTCATGAATGTTAATCACGTTGTCAGCATTCGCTCAAACTGATTTGCTGAAATTAAAACTGGGATGAGCGCCATTCAATGAGATTGCCGTTTGTGCATTAGTTCCGCCCACTACCGGAGAAACCGGCATATCTTCTGCTTGTTCTTAAAGGTCCCCTGACATGGGGTTATTTTATTATTTGTATAATGTTTCCTGGGTTGCCCTTATAATGTTAGTATGTTTTTTAGATAAAAAATAGTCATAATTTAGAAATAAAAGGCATTTTTCCTAGCCTGATTTTAGCCTCTGATTTGAACGCTCTGTTTGAAGGGGCGTGTCTGCTTTGGGATTCAGTGTAATCGGCCACTGCTGTGATAGGCTAACATGCTTGCATATGAAATAGCTACATATTACATGTGAAACTCTCTCAAATACTTTTACTACAGCTATTATACGTTTTTACTATTACAGCTATCGAGGTTAACAAATCGTGAGAAGTTTTTTAAGTATTTAGATCTATTCCCATCACATAAAATGTTGCCGTGATGAGCATTGAGCAAGCAGATTGAGCAAGTCTGTTGATCGCGAGAATGAAGATCTTATCATTGCAACGCAGTTTCTGCACTCTCTCTAATGCTTTCATCAATGCAAACACGATGATGTAACTTACATACAGTAAGAGCTTCGTTGTGCAGTGTAATGTGCGTCATTTGATTTCATAACGAGTTGTCCAGATAAACTTGCGCTGTGTGGAAAGTTTGTTCTTTGATCGCTTTCTGTATAATTTGTTCACAATTTAAATAAGATTATTTTCATCCTACTAAAAGAAACGATGTGAAGTTGATATATTAGTCACTGGCTTGACTTATGCATAAACAGTATTGAACGATTTTGAGAGAAAGATTACCTGTCTGAACTTGAACAATTAGGCTACACATCAGAAATTGTTGCTTGGTAGCTCGATTGATTTATTTTCAGACGTTCATCGAGGCCAGCTCTGTATTGGCCCAAGTTGAGGAAACAGTCGTCGGTGAAATGTTGGACCATACAAAACTTTGGGAAGTTGTGTCGGCGCATTTCCAGAGAAAATAAAATTAACCCATTGTTTCTTCAGAGGCTCGGATGAAGGAACTAAAAAATACTTTTGTGTTCATTTGTACATCCGAACACTGATCAACTGCCATGCTTCGCTCGTTTGCAAGCCATGATATCTCTAGAGGAAAACTCAAATCGCGCTCGCGCGTTTGTACTTCCTAGCTCATTTATCTGCATGATATCTGATAATGCCTATCTATGTTGTATATTTTGTTTATAATGGTTTGATATTGGGAATGTGTATGAGTTCATATTAATATGCTGAGAGATCACAGAAAGTGTGAATTTATCCTGATTCTCCTGTTGTTTAGGTGATGAAGTGGTTCTGGGCAGTGGTGTCATCCTTCACACAGGAAGAACTGGCACGTTTGTTACAGTTCACCACTGGGTCCTCGCAGCTCCCACCTGGCGGCTTCAACACTCTCTGCCCCTCCTTCCAGATCATAGCAGCTCCCACACACAGCACGCTGCCCACCGCACACACCTGGTGAGCACACACACACACACACACTAAACATTCCCTCACTTCAAAAGAGGGACCAAAATCTAATTCCCAGAATTAAATGTGAAATTAATAGACTCTAGAAAGGAACATTCAGCCATCAGATTTTTCCGTCACTGCTAAAAGCATTCAGTCAATGAAAGAAAATTGACGGTTAATGCTACCCCTAGATGGAACAGGTTTCCTGAGAGCCAGTATCCTGCAGAGTTTAATTCCAACCCTAATCAAATACACCTGAACAAATGAATCAAGGTCTTTAGTATTACAATAAAATTACAGGAAAATGAGTTTGATCAGGGTTGGAGCTAAATCCACCAATGCAGAACCGAAACTATCAGTTTTATAACTGTATTTAATATTGTTAAATATAATTATAAATTTCTTGCAACATGAATATAGTTTTGTCAAAAGCATATATAGAAAAAAAAAATCTGTTTAAATTAGGATTGCATGTTTAACTCCTCTCCTGTTCAGTTTTAACCAGCTGTGCCTCCCAACGTATGACTCCTACGAGGAGCTCCACAAGCTGCTGAAGCTGGCCATCAGTGAGGGGAGCGAGGGCTTTGGAATGCTTTGAACATAAGTCCAACTCTGGCAGAAACAGAGAAATCTCCAAACCTCTTTTTATGAACATCTCACCCCAGTGCACTTTACAGTGTACTGTAAATGACGAACTTTGATCACAAGATGCCTCTGGCAGGATTCAGGAGTTATGTACATATGTATCAAAAGATTGTTCTACAAGATGAAAATAAGAAGAAAAGCAAATTTGAGTTTGTTTGTTTTTTTTGTTTGTTTTTTTGTTCAAATAGTTGCCTATCTTTCCATATGTGAGTGCAGACATAATTAAATGGCCTAAGTGTCAGGATGCTTGTTTTGCATTTGGCATAAATATAACTTTTTTATGGAGCGTAGTTGACTATGGGATATTGGGAATGACTGCAAAACCTCTGCACTTGGGCCTTAACTGATCAGGGAAGGTTATGTATAACTTCTGTTTCATTGTATGCTTTATTTATATATAAAGTGTATGCATTTCCCCTGCAACTGTTCATTTGATATTTATGAAGAAGGGACCTTAGACACGTTGTCGCATACCACATTACCATCTTTTTTTAACAAGTGAAATTTGTTTAATGGGCATTTCATAAATCATAAAATTATTTTTCTCAGAAATGTCGATAGTGTTTCAGTTGCAACTGTTTTGGCGACTGTTTCTCGAAACAGTTAAATGTTTGATGTTTTTTCAGATGTCAGACAGCTGACTTGCACATTTATCAGATGTGGCTTTGCTCTTCTCTTGAGCTCCTTTTTATTTTGAACATTTATTATTAATGATCATATATAGGAAACTAGTTATGATCAAATTAAGGTAAGATGTACATTTAAAATATTATTACAAAAACGTATTTGTACTACTTTAACTTCTCCTTTCTACTGTTATTCTGAAATATTTGAGTAACATCTATGCATCATACCAACAAGTCCACAAACAACAAACACTGGCTTTGCTTGTTTTTATAAATAACTGATGCTCTTTTTATCATTTGGTTCAGTTAATGCCGCTCCGCTACTAAATTGAAGTTAATTATATGGGAAAGATCATAATCCACAAAGGCTGACTGTTGAACATTAGTGACCTTTTTTCTACTGTATAGAGCCTGTAGCAATATTCTATGAGGTCATTCTACATGCTAATCTGGAGTGTCCTTTTGTGACCACTACAAACCATTTGCAGGGATAAAAGAAATGCTAAAACATAACTACCCTGATGTTACACTGTGCTCTTGCCTTTGTCTTCTCTCTCTCTCTCTCTCTCTCTCTCTCCCGTCCTCTCTCTATCTCTCTCTCTTTAAACACACACACACATTTTCTTTTTCCATGAAGTTAGACTAGAGTTTCAAAATTAACATTTCTGTGCATTATATGCAACACAATAAAAAATCTGAAATGTATTCATTCATTCATTGTAAATGTCATAAAAAAATGTTGGGTGATGCACAATCTAAAGCATAATGTTATGGATCAGCTTTAGTAAAAGCTAAAATTCCAAATTTAGTTCAGCATTAAGAAAGCATATATCAGTAGCCAGAAAGAAAGTTTTGAGTGTGCTAAGGGAGGGGAGGGGAGGGGAGGGGAGGGGAGGGGAGGGGGGGGGGGGGGGGGAGTTGTGCAAGAAATAAAGTGTAATAAAGTGCCACATACCATTATGAATCATTGCATTGATGTCTTTTAGCTCTATATTTAGACTTGTGTTACTTTGACTAAAATATTCAACTGAATGAGTCTTTTATCAGTAGTATCTCTGTTAGTAAATATTGTGTTATGCATATTTATTCATGAAATCTGAAATTCAGTTCATTATTATAGTACAAAGTAACTATTAAGCGTATTTTGGAGAATAATTAAATCATTGCCAAAACACCAGTTTTTACATTCACTGGCTCAAAAAATTAATTATGGATGAAAAATAAGTGCACTGTATAAAACTTTCAATTTAACATTTAATTCAACAATGTATAAAAATAACAATCCCTATGCAAACTAACATGCTAGTAAGAACCCAGATAATTTGCTCTTAAATTATTATTATACTTCTCAAAAAATTTTAAGTAGATGTTGGTCAATCATATAAAATAAAGTATAAAATATAATATAAAAATAAAATACTTGCTTTAGAGAAATAACATTGTCTGTTAAAGCCGTGAAACATTTGCTGCGTCCTAATTTAGAGGGTGCATCCTTTGAAGGTCGATTGTTTTACAGTGCCTCAACGAAGGCTGTTCCAATCCGAAGGCTCCTTCAAATGCGGCCTTCTTTTCCTGGGCAATGAAGGATACAACAGATGGATTCTTCGCGACCAGTGTTGCCAGATTGTGTCGACGATTTCCAGCCCAAAAGCTCTCAAAAACCAACCCAGATCATTCACTGCCAAAAGAATGTGATATAAACCTTAGTTGTCATGACAATAGAATTCTAAGTACCATTTACCTCCTCAAAACTAAATATCGAAATTATAAAAATGAATCCATTCTCCTGTGTAGTGAGTCATAATTATTTGTTACATTTAACAGAGCAGAAAAAGGCCTCAGTTACCAGGGCTACCATCAGATAAGACTGTTTTATTGCTGTGAAAAATGTGGTCTTGTGGAAAAGCAAAGGCCATAGGAAAAAACAGACTTTTCTGCATTAATTTATAGACAAACTGTTCTATATATCCTCCTGGGACCCAAGAATAGACTTTTGTCCACTGTAGTGGACATTATATTTTAGTGAATTTCTCTGACATCATACATGTCACATGACACAACCTGGGTGTCCTGTAAAGAGCACATTCAGGACTTTTCAGAGATACCAAATGTTTGGAGGTTTCACCATGAAAAAAACTTCTCCTTGGTCTTTAAAAATGTCTGACATTAATTTAGTGATCAAATGTAGCATTCTTATGGAAATATGATAATATATTGTAATTATATTTAAATTGGACTACTTTTTCTAATTGTATTTCATAAAACAACATCTCAGGAAAATGTTAAGGGGTTTCAAATAAAAAAAATACTTTCTGTTACAGAACAGGGCATTGATTTCAAACGTGTCCACTGTAGAGGACATCAGGACTAAAACCATGTTTATCAGGCATTCTGGGAGACACAACAAGTGAATATGGAGATAAATTATACATCAATATTCCTATGAAATATTAGATGATATTATTAAAATGTTGCCAATAATTACTCCAATTGTTACACTTCTTTTTTCATTAAATGTTGCTCCAAGAACACATTAATGTGCAAATTAGATACAGTGTATAGATACATTGCATTGAATGGGAATATTAATTTATGGCCATTTTACCCACATATTGCAAAAAGTAAAATTGTGTATCAATTCATTCCATTATTTCTTTCATAACATAGTTGAGAATAATCTTTATACAAATTTTGGTTGAAAAAATCCTGAAACCCCAAAATTTATTGGTGATTGAAAAAAAAATCCCATTGTTTTTGCCTATACATATAATTTCATGTCATTTTATTTTTTAAACAACTTAGTCCTGGCGTCCACTACAGAGGACATAGCATAACGTATGAATAAAATATTATTTTATATATGTGTTTTTTTACCATTTGTTTATTGTGCTCTAAACAGTGTGATGACATGGAAAAAAACTAAATTCAAAAAACTTTTTTTTTCTGGGTCTCAGGAGGTATAAATGAACATGCGTATCTCCAGAACATTGTGTGTTATTACTGTCCTGTATAGTGTCTGGTATTGGATACCATTTTATGAGAGAACTACTAGTTGATGTAAACCCATCATGTCTCCTATCAAATTAATGTACATTTAACAACTCACACTTTAGTTTATATCACCTCCTAGAATGCAGTGTTTGTTATATTAATCAGAGTACAAATGGACACCTACTGCCAGACCCATTCTAACCATGCTCCAGACAAAAGGCCATAAAACCTCCCAACAGAGGATATTGCACGACCATGACCTAACCACAATCTCTAACGCCACAATCTCACCGCAACCCGACCATACGCGCCAACCCGTTTGACTAAGGCTGTCGAAGCCCCACTGTCGTCGTTAATGCAGGTTCAGTTGCAACGGTTCCGTATGGCATTCTACCTACCGCAAAACACAACAATATCTGTCCAACACAAATCCTCATACATGCAAAATACAGTACACAGGATTGTGATAACTATGCAAACTCTACAAATAATCCAACATACTCTTCAAGTTTTTCAAGAATTCTTGAAAACCGTAGTGTGGCGGCCTGTAGAATCTTTCCGTCTCAACCACAGCCAGTTGCTGCTCCTTTCTGCTGCTTCAGATAAGTTATTTACTGTGCGACGCAACTCTTGGCCACTGAATCCGACGTCTCTGAGAAATCGGGTTGTAGACTGTGCCACAAATCCTCGACAATCCACTTCCACTGGATAAACCCGGACTCTCCATCCTCGCTGTTCTGTGGCTAGATGAGCATACCGCAGTTTCTTCCTCTCATACACCTCATCTACAGCATGCTCCCATAGCACTGTTAACTCTATCAGGTGAACAAGGTGTGCTGATCCAGACCACAAGACAATATCTGGTCGAAGGTTAGAGGTGGCAATCTCAGGTGGAAATATAAGCTGTTGATCAACATCTGCCAGCATTTTCCAGTCTCTAGCAGCTTCCAGTTGTCCTGGGCGAGAATTGGTTTTAACACCTTTTCTTGCTGGTTGCTCTCCTGGGCGGAGGAATATTGTCTTTTGTGTGTAATGTTTTGCTAGAACAGGTGGCAACTTATTGGTCATGTTACGCTTGTCTTCCAATGCTAAAGCCAAACATCGCAGTACTTGGTCATGGCGCCAAGTAAACCGTCCTTGGCTAAGAGCCACCTTACATCCTGTCAAAATTATCCTAAAGTAATGATTATTTATTAATATTTCACTTTTGAGCTAATTTTGCAACACTTGCCAGGAGCACAATACAACAGGAAAGAGGATTGAAACATGGCAAATACAGTTAGCAAATGACAAAAATGTTTCTACCCAAACAGGTAGAAACTAAAGTATGTCATATATTAAATTTAAATCGAGTTAACCCTCCCACTTCTGTTGGTTTTACTGATATGTCTTATCCCATGCGAAATGGCCATTAATATTAGAGACGTCCTGTGGTAAAAGTACATTACTCCATCTACCCTTGTAAAACTAATCCCATCCAAATAGGGTTTTAGTTATATTTCTAAAGAGCCTTCGAGTCATCTCCCACCACAGGTGTAATCCATGTTTTGAGAGTTGGGTCAATCTCCCACTCTTTACTGTAGATACAACTCACTGTATATTTATGCCACTTTGGCATAGTTATCACGCTAAAAACGCATCTCTCATAAATGATCACGTCTGCCTGCTGATCACTGATTGGCTAAAAGTGTGTGCCCGTCGGCGATGTCAACACCAACGCCAGTCGACTTTGCGTTGAGCCTGTATTTAGTAACATCATGATGACTGATTTTATGGAGTAAATGGAAACCTGTGTTTTGTTTATTAACGCCTCAGAATAAAACACTTTTAAAGATAATCTTTTTTCTCGCAATTGTGATTTACATCTCGCAGAATTGCAAGATATAAACTCTCATTTGCAAGTTCTAAAGTCAGAATTGCAGGATATAAACTTATGATTGCGAGAAATATCTCACAATTCTGACTTCTTTTCTCAGAATTGTGAGATATGAACCCTGTTTTGTTTACAGACATATATAACTTTCAAAAAAGTCCAGTACAAATCTGACTGCCGCTCATCATGGCTCGTCACAGTTGCTAGGCGACAAGAACAATCCTCCGTTGGCTAGATGTCCCTTTTAACAACGCTCGGTCCTTCGAAGGATGCAGCCTTTGAATTGGGACACAGTGATTATTTCCAAGCATCTATACTATAGGCTATCTGAATACTCCATTCCGAATGGCTGTGAGGTGTGCTTTAAAACCATTAAATGCACAAGTAGTTCCATCCAGTCAGTTTAATCACCGTTTTAAATGAATGCCCTGCCTTTACTAGTACATACATGCACACTAGTGATGGAAAGCTCAATTAATTTTTCTGACTTGATTTTTTATTCAATCTCGTCCAGCTAAATGATCAAATCTTTATTCAACTCATCAATTGAAATGAATAATGATTGTCTACTCAACTGTGTCTTCTGGTTTGAGCCGTTTGTTCTTTTATCATGTTGAAGGCCCGGCTCGATCGATCCAATGGCGGCATTCGATCAGCGGGTGAAGGTCTCTGCGCGTTACCCTCTTTCCGCGTGACAAAGTAATTTGATTAAATGAAATACATTTTCTCATATGTACTGAGTCGTTATTTCATCTGACTCCATAAATGAAAAAGTGCATCTGTGCATCATTAATTGTGAGCAAATGTTTGATTATTCTTTTTCAACTCTTTAATTATGTTTTACCCACTCAGATTAGGAAGCTATATCAATTAAAGGTCCTTGCGCGTGTTCCGCAGGTCACAAAACACAATTTCATCAGTTTTGTTCATCAAACAGAGGTAATTGGCTAATATCGTAGACGGTCGGATTCACCATTACACAATCAAAGATACTTTGATAGCCCCCA